ATAAATTCGGGCACCGCCGGGAATCGAACCCGAGACCCCAGGATTACAAGGCCAGCGTTCTGACCGCTAGACCACATATAAATCCTTGCCATATAAGAATGCAGACGTATAAAACCAAAACATAACGCATGTTGAATGAAACTATCGTTGATGAATGAGTATGTTTGTGTGTATTACGAATTCTGACTGCGAAAGATAAGATACTGTCTTTTTCTGACTATAACACGCGAATATATAATTTCCTAAAGAAATTAGCGATTACCATTGAGACGTCTATATTTTCGAATAAAATAATAAATTTTTGCTTAGATTCGAATATTTATTTCTCTGTAATAGCTCTTTTATATCAGACGTACAGCTATGCTACTGAAAATCGTAACTTTCTAAACACTGCTAACTTATTCCCTGAACTTAGTATAGCGACGTGTTGCAAGGGAATTTGGATCAGTGTACTAGCAGGTTTTAAAATCTATAATGTCTAATCCTTTGGAACTCTAAAATGCACTAGGTCTACACCAAATGGCGAATGTTTGAATGCTTATAATTTATTTGTAATTTAATTTGGTCTCTAATCAAGGTTAAAACAATCCGATCAAGTCCTGTTCCCCTCACTCTTCGCAGTTTGCGTTATCCCTGTTTTTGAACACTACATCTATTACTGATGCTCCGAATCAACGCTAATTGATTGTTACATGTTTCATATATTTGAAATCGAGATTAATCTATTTTAATATGGACAAACACGACTACTGCCAGCACTGAACGCGACTTGTGTGTATGAACATTAGCAGCTGATCTCTGCATATTCTAAAACTTTCTGACTGATGCGTTCTACCGGTACTTAAAAACTGCGAGGTTCTAAAGTTTGTAGCATCCCGGTATGATTTGTTGATTCTTTATTTATCTGTACGTCACTTTTAGCACACTGTTTACTATCTTCTCAATTTGGCAACAGAGTTCGAACCAGTGTGGCCATCATCAGGTCCAGTTCCCGGTTTCTGTGTTATTGTACTAAGGAACTCCCCCCCCTCCCCGGTTGTTCAGAAAAGTAACTATATATTTTTATTATTTAGTGTTCTGTCTGACGACAGGTCCATATGAACAGGATCCTTCCATCCTTTTCTCGGACTGGGACCTGTTCATATACGTTCTTGGCAGATGATCCAGAAGTGGTTTGCCATTGCCTTCTTCTGTGTGTGAATGGAGTAATTGTTGGGATGCCACGGAGAAACCGGGGAAGCCCCCGGAGGAAAACTCCGTGTTGCCTAGACCACGGCCTTGTCCAACACAAGTTATAAATTCGGGCACCGCCGGGAATCGAACCCGAGACCCCAGGATTACAAGGCCAGCGTCATAACCGTTTATATATATAAACCGTTTTTAATTTTTTGTGAACGGTTAAATTTTAAATTGCCAAAAATAATTATCAGAGATGTTTTAAAAATATTTTTAGCACAGCCTGGTGAGGTTTCTCTGCGTTGTAGTGTGTTATTGTAGAATGACTTTAAATTTTATGGCAAGGACTGAATTACTGATGGTATGTGTAGACGGAATAAATAATTGAAACAACCTATTTCCCTACTTTAAAACATGCATCTATCCGTATTTACAGTGTGGTGAAATGAGGTAGTTAGTGTGCCCAAGTTTCTGTATCTGTTGGATATCTCGGAAATAAGCTGTATTTAAACAAATCTCAGCGAAAGACATAGCTTGTTTACCAAGTGAGTTCTTTGCGATCATCCATACTTAATTGGCCTTGATGTTCATTTATTACGGACAGATAACCACTGTTACAATAAAAGAACATGGGACTTACGACAAATTATTTTCCCTTACGCGGTGTTACATGTACGGCTACACTGCGTAGGAATATTTTTAAAATAAAAATTGGAATTCTTAATGAGGTTTACATTTTGTGTTGCCATACATTAATATTTTACATCATAAGCTGATTCAGAGGTTTTTCATAAAGTCTGAGTCTGATTTTGACTGACCCACAGCAAAATGAAATTTTTGTAACAACTTTTATCGTTCACCCTCAAGTGCCTACTAAGATTATTCTAAACCCGTCACGTTTACCAGACTACACACTGCAACAACCCAGAAGACAGCCTTCTTCGTACTTGCCGCTGTGATAAGTTGAAATTTTAAATTCACTTACCTATCTTCCAGTACGAAGACCAGGATTTCTATCAAGGCATTTACACTCCAGATGCAAAGCATAGTCCATAACTGGTCACTTATTGGTCAGATCTGACGAGTAGGATTTGTCTCCTGTTACCATAGCAACATCGAGCGAGAGGAAAGTTGTAGGAAACTAAGGAATTTTGGTGTCTCCGTTAAATTGGCAAGGACACAAAGGAGATCGCATAATAAGGAACTCCAAAAAAAAATAAACTGGATGTGAGGGTGTGGCCGCATTGATCCGAAAGGAGCAGAACCCAAAGTCTGGCTTTTGTAAATGAGATAACGAACCTTCAGGTTCTATAAAAGACGTAAGTGTCTTTTCCGGATTAATACATATCAGCTTTTCAAGACAAAAGACCATGGAGTTATTAAGTAAGATGCCTGGTTATCTCCTTTCTCCTTAAAGTATTCCTACAAAATGAGCATATCTGAGAAATAAGTAATGAAAACGTGGAATAACTTTTAGAGGTGTAAAGTGCGTTGCTCATGAATTGAATGCGATGAGGGCTTTCGGAAGACATTAGTGAACAGACTTTCAAATCAAACGTGTTGTATCCGCATGAAGTTTTGTCTTAACGTATTACTTTTTATTTAAAACGAAACATGTTCAGTGTAGGGTTTTGGTTTGATTTTCGCTCTTTATTCTTATTAAAGATGTGGTATGTCCGAATAATCGTAATCTGTTACAATTTCCTTTGATTCAGAATTTATCGAAAATGGTGATTTTCGGTTTTATACTATTCGCAGCACTGATTTGTTTTAAAATAGCAAAGGAGGTATCTGTAGGCAGAAAATGCACTCTTCCTTGTATTGTCACTTCAGCGTCTTTCTGATAATTCGAAGTACCGGACGGTGGAAACATCTCTGGGCAATTTTTTCGCGGAGTCACGGGAAGGAATAACGCGTATCTCTAGAATGTATCCTCCTTAAGCTTAAGCTTTGCAGATTGTACAGTACAGTGACACCGTTGCGGTAGCTAATGGAGTCGCACTTTCAGTGCTGAGGAGAATATTCATCAACGACTTTAACACAGCTTCAGATCTCCAACAACGTGTCCCACCTATTTGCACACACTTAAAAAAATTGCATTTGATTTGAGAAACATCAAAATACTAAAATGTAACTGATGCATTAATTTAGTGTGCACCATCTTCGTGTATTTGCTCCGTACGTACTTCCTAAAATGAGCCCTGAAGACTCGATTGTTTTCGGTTCTGATCTTATACAGGCCCGACACTCCTCAAATACATGATATAAGAGGAATGTAGGATTTGAGGTTTTCACAGCGGTGAGTATGAAGATTTCTGTCTTCTGGGTTGTTGCGCTGTGTAGTCTGGTCGATGTTAACCAACGTTTCAGAGGTCATACTGGCTCCGTCATCAGAGTATGAAGATTTCTGTCTTCTGGGTTGTTGCGCTGTGTAGTCTGGTCGATGTTAACCAACGTTTCAGAGGTCATACTGGCTCCGTCATCAGAGTATGAAGATTTCTGTCTTCTGGGTTGTTGCGCTGTGTAGTCTGGTCGATGTTAACCAACGTTTCAGAGGTCATACTGGCTCCGTCATCAGAGTATGAAGATTTCTGTCTTCTGGGTTGTTGCGCTGTGTAGTCTGGTCGATGTTAACCAACGTTTCAGAGGTCATACTGGCTCCGTCATCAGAGTATGAAGATTTCTGTCTTCTGGGTTGTTGCGCTGTGTAGTCTGGTCGATGTTAACCAACGTTTCAGAGGTCATACTGGCTCCGTCATCAGAGTATGAAGATTTCTGTCTTCTGGGTTGTTGCGCTGTGTAGTCTGGTCGATGTTAACCAACGTTTCAGAGGTCATACTGCCTCCGTCATCGACCAGACTACACGGTGCAACAACCCAGAAGCCAGAAATCTTCATCTAAGAGGAATATTATAGTCGTTAATACTAGGATGAAACAGAATCAACACAACTTGTCTAGGGTATGGACAGGAGAGAAATTTGCAGGATCGTCTCGTTAAGAGAGCAACAGAAGTAATTTTACACTAATACCTCATCTCCATTCTCTTATTTGCAGCGTATTTTATGACCTTATTTTGTAATGTTGTTCCGGTCAAAAGAACAAAAGCCTCACCTTTATAGAATGGCTCGAAACAATATAAATCTGTGCTAACTGAATTAAGCTGACAGCCTTTCATAAAACGGTTCTACATTCTTGACCAGATGAGTAATCATTAGATTTTAAAAACTAAATAACATCGTGGAGTTAGGGGAAATGTAAGAAGTTGTAGTTTGACATTTTGAAAGAGATCTGTATTAATCCGTGAATAGTTCGTGAACGTGTATCCATTTCAGATCCTTAATAAAAAACTAAAAAGGGGAACGACGAGGAAGAGAACGGAGAAGAATGAGAAGAAGAGGGAGATGGATGATGAAATGGAATAAGAAAGGAGAATATGAAAGAGAAGAAGGAGAAGGAAAGGATGAAAAATGGATGACGAAGAGAAGCATAAGATGGAAGACAAGAGGAGGAAGAAATGAAAGAAAATTAATGAAAGGGAAGAAGGAAAAGTATTTTTTGTCTCAGTTCATGAAATGTTCAGGAAAAATGTCACTTCGTATAAAGTGTCTCATTCCAGATGGCACAGCCATGGAAGCACTTGTGTGTGTGTGTGGGGAGATATGCCACTCTACGTCACAGAAGACTGTGGAAGAACCAGGAGGATGCAGTGGGCAATAAATCGTGTCACTAACTCGGCGGGAGAGTCGAGAGGAAGAGATAAACTTGAAGGCAGGAAGGAAGCGCGTAAAGCAGAGATAATGCAGAGAATGCCAAATTAACATCTAGTGACCCGTTACATGTAGCAAGCAACATGAAGTAAGTCAGGCCACTTAGTCCGTTGCCTCGTGAAGAAGACAGAATTACTGCCGACGAATGATTTAGTGTCGAGACGTCCGCCATTTCAAGTCTAAATTAGAGAGGGCAGAGAAGCAAGAATAAGAAGGAGAAGAAGAAGCAATTATTACAAAACTGTTGGTCTAAATGTGGCGCAGAAAGATCGGTGTTCGGATGAGCAACAGATCAACTCTCGGAAATTAGCTACTTTATTCGCGGCTGACCTATCGAAATAAAACTGGCTTTCTAAAGAAAACAGGATTTGTTTTAAGGTAAAGGGACTTAATTTAAATTCTAAAGTTGAAAATATTGTTTGTTGGGTTAAAATGTTGCTCACGCGTTTATTGCTAATAAAATTATCGTTTCAAGTCTGGAAGGTATTAACAAATAATAAACAGGGGCATGAAGCTGTTGAAATGCTTTTTCAAGAGCAGTACTGAGTCACTCTTCGATATAAACACTGGAGTGAATATAGGCTATAACATATAGATTACAAGAGGATAATATTTTAAATGGAATTTAGGATAACAAAAATAAATAATGTGAATATGTTGAAAACTGAAGGAAATTCGTACACCAAACCGAGTTTTGAATTATGATTAACAAGCAAAATAAATACTGACTTGAAGACCTGCAGAATATAAATTTATCAAATAAGGCAGCGCAGATATAATTGCTCACGATTGCTTTAATTGTGTTGATTTTTTCTCACAAGTTGATTAGATTGAAGCTACGTACTTTTTCATCACAAAACCTTGCACTTGGTTTATAAGCTGCGTCTTTTGTTAATATCTTTCGTCTGTAAATTTAACTATAAACAATATTGATCATCTCTAATTGAAAGGTAAATAATCTGAACATTTTGAAAGAAATGAAAAGGCAGTCATTTCGAATTTAGGCAATAAGCCTGCAACCAATTCCAAACTGTAGCCAAGATTGGTCATGATTAAGGATCATACACATGCATGAGTTGAAAAATGGTTTTAACTATTTAAATACAGGATCATTTATTATCAGCGTCACTTAAGTCACAGTATTTCATAATTAGAATCGTAATCCTTTTAAGTTAAAAATAACAAACGAAATAGTAGTTTTATAACAACATTCAGGACATTATGTATAAATAATATTCTATGCTCTCTGCATGATATGAGCGAATGCTTGTTTATTTATTATTCTGTGTAATGAAGTTAACACGCAGCTGTTTAAATACAGCAGTGGACCTATTTGTCTTAGACTCATTATCTCGGTTAGAAAGTGTTTAAAATTGCTGTATTTATGAAGACAATCAACATTATAGCCATGCACAAGGTACTGGGTCGTTATTAGTAGAGGTAACACCTGTTAGTAGGTTATTTTTATTACTTATTTTAATCCAGAAGTGAATATTTGTGAACAGTGGAAGGAATGTTCTGTCAGGTCTACTGATGATAATTGCGTTTTGTCAAGTTTTGATTACTTATACTGACTTACAATTCTATAGATAATAGCACATGAAAATGTTTTAAAATGTGGATGAACGCAAACGTATGTAGGCCTCATACTTGGCAAAGGAAAATTCTTGAACGTTTTCTCATGCGTAAGCTCCTGTTCGAACTCTATACAGTCAATCTTTTCATTTTTGCTAATAAATTAATATGATTACGGTATATTTAACAGTGATGTTGATTGCGATAATAAGTGACAGTATTTAAACTCACATTTGTGTACAAGCAACCAGTATCTTGTGCAAACTAGGTCTAATATGATTGTACACAAGCTATGCGTAATAAGTTACAAACAATTACAGGCTTGCTCATTATCAGCAACTCTCTGAAATGTCTGGTGTATCACGTGTAGGGCTAAGTTACGTCAGACGATGGCCAATAACAAACAGTTTTGTGTAATGAAACCACTAACGAAAGTTACGGAATTATTTGACATCTGTTAGGGCCACTTGCGACAAGAAAACTCAATTTTATCTTCAAGGAAACAAAACTTGTACATCACTGACAATAGATGTATTCATATGTGATTCATATTGCAGCAGATTGTCTCGAATTTTCGTATTTACCTTGTCGAAAAAAAAAATCTTTAGTTATGGAAAGAATTTAGGTCCTTTTTTACTGAAGGTTTTATAGTTGTATGAATCATAGGATAATTTACCCTTCTAGGAGTCGTCGAACAAGGCAGCAAACATTAGTCAGAGTTGCATGCCTTTGTCATGAGTTGTATCTCACGATTCTCAATAAAACCTTTTTTAGTCGTGTGTGCTTTAAAAATGACAAAGTGACATGCGTCAAATTTTTCACAGACCAGAGAGCTAGATGCCTCTTTCTTAAAGTAATTTTAAGGGAGAGGGAGGCAAATAGTGGGCCTGTCCACGGTGCCAACAATCCAAAAGACAGCCATCTTTAGGCCCTACTAGTGATACATATAAAACTGCTTTAAACGGAAGAAAATCTTTGAGGATTCCGTTGTAATCAGGTTTCCTATTTTTTTTAAAGTTAATTCTTGGAAATCTGTTGTGTAGTTGCATATTGTGGCAGCCTGCAGTTGTCTGTTGCAGTCAGAACTCTGCGTCTAGACGCGCTGACGCCTTCACACAAGAGTTTGGCGGCATCTTAGTATCAGACGCGTTGAAGACTTCGGATGAATAGTCCAAGGAGTCATCTCTCCCCTAACAACAACAAACGAAATGCTGGCAGTAGATCGATTTGCAACGCATCTGTCGATTTGACCGACGTCATGCAGGGCCGATGGTTAAATCTGTCGGGAATTTGTGGCCCGTTGTAATGCGATCCGATTGAGGACGGGGACTCCAGAGAAGCATTTTGTCGTAAAAGTGGGAATTACCTTAACATTTTATCCTTATCCTGAACAATTTGAACTTCTAAGAAAGCGGTAAGCGACTTTCTCAGCCTCCTACACTACAAGATGCTCCTTGAAGAAGCCATCATAGTCTCACGATGAATGCCCCAGCGAGTGGTGGTTGCTCAGATGATGAAAGTACGGGTGTCCTGTGTAGCTCTGCGATGCTGGGGGGCCCGCGCCGGGGGGCAGAGGATACGGATATGGGACGTGGTGAGCGGCCGAATACAACAGTCCCGCGGCCGCTGCGGCGTGCTGGTGGTGAGAGTAGCCCCCTTGAAACGGCGGACCTGGAGGCCCAGGCGGAGGCGGGACAGTGGGACTGTTCACGTCCATACCTGGATTCTGCTTCTTCCACTTAGTCCTCCTGTTCTGAAACCAAATTTTCACTTGTGTCTCCGTTAGTGACAGAGACAAAGCTAGATTCAGTCGTTCGCAGACTGAGAGGTAACGCGTTGTCTTAAATTTGTTTTCCAGTGCTACTAGCTGTTCGTATGTAAACGCAGTTCGCGCTCTTCGAGGTTTACCACCGCCACTACCACTACCACTACCACTTCCGCTTTTACCGTCACTTCCGGTACCACTGTTTCCAATGCTGCCCGCGGTGTTTCCCGACTTCTTCTTCTTGCCGCCTCCGCCGCCCCCACCGCCTCCGCTGCTGTTGCTGCCGTTGTTGCTCTTTCCGTCTCGTTCATCACTGACGTCACTTCCTAGTTCTTCCCTGTTGCTGCTTGTGTCATCCAGATCGTGCAGCAGATCCTTTCCTGCCGATAGAACACAAATACTCTTTGAATACACGATCAGGTTATGTAATGAAGATTTCCGTCTTCTGGGTTGTTGCGCTGTGTAGTCTGGTCGATTCATCGCCCTGATGACGGAGGCAGTATGACCTCCGAAACGTTGGTTAACATCGACCAGACTACACAGCGCAACAACCCAGAAGACGGAAATCTTCATACTCATCGCCCTGATGATGGAGGCAGTATGACCTCCGAAACGTTGGTTAACATCGACCAGACTACACAGCGCAACAACCCAGAAAACGGAAATCTTCATACTCACCGCTGTGATAACCTCAAGTCTTACAGGTTATGTAATGTAGGCGATGTGTTATCAGGCCTGTTTCCTAAAGTTTGCATTCAAATAATGAGCAGGCTATAATTTTTAATTCTGTTTGCATCGTCACCCTGCTTTAGTAATAGAATAAATCAGCGTTATGTAATTTGTTCACTTAGCTAACCCTGTGAAGCCCAGTGGGAACTAGGTTTACCACCTGCCTTAACAATCAGCAAATGCTCATTTAATATTTAAATATCTTGTATGATTCTCACTGTAAACAGCGATTATTTAATTGGATATCGTTAACCAGTTAATATTTGTTATGGTGAATTGCTCTGTTTTCTTTGCGGTATGGACTAAACTCTTAAATATTATTTAGATGTGCTTCGACTTCACTAAGAGTGCAGCCCTCGCTGAAGTGGCAGTAGGAAGACTCGTTTATCTTGGCGAGACATCCCCCGACACACATAGTTCAGTCGTGCAAGTGTTCGTACTAGCAGGTGAAAGGAATTCTGTGTAGTTGTTAATCAGAGCTGTGTCATATGAAAGACGAATCGACAATGAAACGAACGATTAGAGGGAAGCTTTCGTGGACCATGGAAAGCCAAGGCAGGCGTATCATCTGAGCAACCGCACAGTGACTGATATCCCAAAATCCTCTGTCGGTGTACCCGATGTCCAGTCTGAATTTGATCCTGGATTTCCAGAATATAATTCAGGCTTGTTATTACTTGGCTAATCTGCTCTGTTGAATGATTCGTTGGGGGACATCTGGGAAAAATGTAATCCAGACTTTAGACAAATTAACCATATTTCCGGGAGCAAAAATCGATGATTGAACACCTCTATAACTGACCCCACCTTCAGGGGTTAAAGAGAATGTTTGGCCCTGAAGATGGAGGTAGTATATTTCTCCGAAACGTTGGTATCTAAACCATCATAGAAACTTTTAACGTAAGTTTGCCTGTAGCTGTAAGCACAAGTGTGATTTCAGTGTTTCATAACTTTCTCACTCGTAAGTTACGTTAAGGTAACGAGCCTTTGGGACGAATTTAGTAATGAGTCTTCCTTCAGGCTTCCAACTTGAAACTCTTGTCAGAACTAAAACTCTCAGATATTTTCCGCTATACACCCCCACCCCATCCCAAACCACCCTCTGCACTTTCGCTTGTAAATGGTGAATTTAACTAAACACTTTAGTCTTTAAAACAATCCCCCAAACTGTAATTAACAGCCTAGTCTAATTACTTGCTCTCATTTAGAGAGATTATTAACGAAAACTGTTGAGAACATGAACATGGGTTTGGAGGGTAGGGGGGGGGCGCTGTCTGTAAGTGTGTGGGATGGCGGGATCATGCAAATTTGCCGCAAGAAAAGATTCTCTCCGCACAGTAACTCACTCCAGACTACAAGGATCGGGTTTTTGTTACGAGTTTCCATGGAAACAGACTAAGAGTACGGGGAGGAGGGAAGTAGTTAAGATACGGCGACACAAGAGGGAAGGCAAGTTTTGTTTCTTTGCTACAGAGCCAGAATGTTCTATATCCTGCCTAGTGTAGACACAGATGCTGCTATCAAAGTAGGCCTCTCGGCTCAGAACCTACTGTAGGATTAACCGACTCCTTAATCGAGGGTTAATAAAATTAGTTCCCCGATATTATGAAAACCGAAATTTCATTTCTTTGTTAATGAAATCCTCTCTTAAAACTCTGTCCTTACCCGGTTGAGTTCAGTCCGCATTCCATTCTGTAATTTTTCCAATATACGTTTAAATATATCTTCACTAAGGACTGCCAAGCGATATAATTCCTTGGTATTTGCTAACTAAAATATTGTACGAATTTATTATATCCCAGTTGCGTGCTTCGTGTCTCGTCCATCTTGTCTTTTTTTTTCCAACCCCAGTCTCACTATAGAATAAAACCGTCTGTATGTAGATGACGTACAATTCTGTAAATAACACCTAAAAATGTAGGCCCACATAATTGCTGTCATGAAACGAAACATAAAATAATTCCCCTGAAGCTATATCCAGAATCTTTTGGAAAAAAAAATTAATGTGAAAACAGAGAAATGTGTAATTTTCGAGAAAAAAAACATCCTCTGTTATAACAATGCTTCTTTTGAAATTTGGGCTAAGAAAATTTTAATGGCGGTGTATCTTCTATTCTGCAGTCTGTGATAATTAAGCCGGAGCTGCTGTAATGTGTTTTGTCAACACGGCCTGCAGATAAACAGCGGTATTGACGGCTCTGTATTTGTGATGACAAATCTGCTATGTGTTGATAATGACTACGAAATTAAGGGAAAGAAATCCCCATGCACAAAAACATAATTTGTTATGGTAAGTTTACAGAGCGGTCGGTTTTCAACTGTTGCAACTGTTGACCAATTCCGATGTATATGACAACGTAGTATCTATGTAAGATTTGAGGTTTTCGCAGCGGTGAGCCTGAAGATTTCTGCCGTGTAGTCTGGCAATAACCCAGAAGATACCAATCTTCAACGTAGTATGTATTCTTTCAGTTAATTTAAAATGTATTTACTTCATTATTTTATCTCTAAATCCCATAAATGAGGGGATAAAGTATGGATAAACAATTTTGAAATATAAGTTAAATAGAATAGGGATGGTGGGAGACCCCTACTGTGTGTTTAAAATGGGCACAGGTACGAGTGGACTAATATTTGGCGACAAGTATAAATTATGAAACTTCTCATTTTGTGGATTGGTTTAATATCTTTATCTATCCAAGGTCCAAATATTCTCGCCAGCATAAGCCCTCAACTACAACATATTATTTCCTTGCAGCACAAGACCAAATATCAAGCCAGTTCTTATCTTTGTCATGGCGTCCACTTTGCCATTTCTGTCCACCCAATCTCCTATTCAATGTATAGGCAGGTTGTCTTAAAACCTAAAAGAGCACCGAACCACAAGAGAGTTTCTGAACTACTGCGACAGGACACATTTGTTTCATTCCGATCCCTCGATCACACAGACACGTGCGATGACACGTGTCGGCAGTGGTTAACACCAGCACGAGCGTGTTTAACAAAGTAATTCACATCAATTAAATATAAGGAGATTATCAATAATAACGGCATCATAATCTACCGATGTTTTTACAACTCTGCAGAAGCGTCCGGACAGGAAAGCAACTCTGAAGATAACTTGCGCTTGTATTACCGACGGATTTATCTCCGGATGCTAAAAGCCGGTGTTTAAAATCGACCACTCACCCCCGTCTAATGTATGGAGCATTAATTTCAACCTCTCATACGTGTTCATGAAATTATAAGTAACATTTCAAGGCCGAATGATAATTATATTTCCACCAGCTTATCGTTCAGTAATTCTGCATTTTATACATAGACTCGTATTTATGTATCATATCATTATCAGATATTTTACCACGGTGGTCTAGCGGTCAGAACACTAGCCTTGTAAGCCTGGGGTCCCGGGTTCAATTCCCGGTGGTGCTCAAATTTATAACTTGTGTTGGGCAAGGCCGTGGTCTAGGCATCACGGAGTTTTCCTCCGGGGGCTTCCCCGGTTTCTCCGTGGCATCCCAACAATTACTCCACTCACACACAGAAGAAGGCAATGGCAAACCACTTCTGATCATCTCTGCCAAGAATGTATATATGTATGAGCAGGTCCTGACAACCTGAAGAGGTTGGAAGGATCCTGTTCATGATATATGGACCTGTCGTCAGACAGAACACTACAAATAATAAAAAAAATCATTATCAGATTAAACGGAGATTATTTTCTTAAACTGTGTTAACCAATTGATCGTTGTAGTGAAGTGTTGTGTTTTCTTTGCGGTAAGAACTGTATTTTTCAAAATATTTAGACGATCTTAGAATGCAGAGGGTGAAGACAGCTATTACTCGCAGATTTTCAGAAATTAATGACATTGATGCTGTGAGATATTAAAATATTTCGTGGTGTCCTAACACTTGGAAAGGTAAAGATTACTGCGGTAATATAAAGATGGAGTTGTGACGGTCTTGCTCTGGCCTTGCACAGTTGAGATGAGAGACTGGAGACCAAGACACTTGAACACAATACCGTTGTACCAAATGAGAGCGAAAAGGATGGTAAATAGCAGAAGAGGCAGCAAGAGTTTCTAATGGAAGCACAGGGTTAGAGATATTTGCTGTAACTAATTTAATAATTATTGTTGATTTAAGCCCCGCCATCTCATCTCTTCTCTCTCCGTTCTGGAGGGACGGAGCAATTCAGTTGATGAGTCGCTCGTAGTGGCTCTGCAAGAAGACACGGAACTTTGTGGCAAATCGAGAGGCGAACGAACGGTTACTGTGAAATAACGCTGACAGTGGTAACAGACAAACGATTGAGCTAACTGGACAACTAAGTAACTGACCACCTATTCCACCATCGAACTAAACAAATAGGTGAGGGTCTAGCTAATTAACTAACCAACTGAATGGCCAACTAAATAACTAGATAGCTTGACCTATTTTTTAACTAGTAAATTAAACTGACTAGTAAGGTCGTGGTATAACCTAGTTACAAGTGTTTTGTAAGTTAAAGGTCCTGGGTTCCAAAGTCGTACTATATCTAATATTGACTTAAGTCTTTCTCAGATATTTTGGAATAGCGCCTTAGAATAAGCCACGGCGTATTTCTGTCGCCTCGTAAATCTAGTAGTAGCACAATACAGTGCAAGATTTG